GTGTGTGTGTGTGTGTGTGTGTGTGTGTGTGTGTCTTCAACAGAAGAAAGGTGTGAAGAGGAAAGCCGACACCACCACCCCCACGACGTCGGCCATCTCTGCCAGCCGAGCCGAATCTCCGTCCGCTCAGGACGCCAAGCCTCCAAAGCTGGCCTCGTCCCGCCGCGAGGCCGCCGCCCGGCCCGCCAAGGCCCGCCGCGACACGGTGGAGGAGCTGGCCGGCGCCGAGGCGGTGGGCGGCGGGGTGGGCGTCAGAAAGGGCGGGGGCAAGCTGGGCGAGCAGATGAAGCACTGCGACGCCATCCTGAAGGAGATGCTGTCCAAGAAACACGCCGCCTACGCCTGGCCCTTCTACAAGCCTGTAGACGCCGAGGCCCTGGAGCTGCACGACTACCACGACATCATCAAACACCCCATGGACCTCAGCACCGTCCGGGTAAGACCTCAGGGGGGCAGGTTCTGGTCCGGGTGTCCTCGTTGATAGAACATGTTCTGTTTGATGATCAGATGTTATCTACAGGAGTTGTTTCATCTGGAGACGCCTCAGGACATCCTGTCCAACCTGCTTCACTCAGTGGTTTTGATTTTCTCTGTAAACATCATGGACGGTGTTAATGTGTGATAACAGCTTAATATTTCAGTGATTATATGACTCGTGATAAATGAATGTTTAAGTACGCAGTGTTCAGAGGTGTAAGGTAACTCAGTACAAATACTTTTACTGTACTTAAGTAGAGATTTAGGTTATTTGTATTTAACTAGAGTAATTATTTTTCAGCCTACATTTTACATTCACTCCTTACAGTAATCATGTTTCCATCCAGTTGGAGAGTGAATTTTTGTCTAACTTTTCAAAATTTGCAAAAAATTAAATAAATAAAAATTTGAATCTAGACAGTTTCCATCTGACTGTTTGATGCAAATAAACGAGGCTACGCAATGCGTGATTACGTCAGACGAGGCTACGCAACGAGTGATTACGTCAGATGAGGCTACGCAACGAGTGATTACGTCAGACGAGGCTACGCAACGCGTGATTACGTCAGATGAGGCTACGCAACGAGTGATTACGTCAGACGAGGCTACGCAACGCGTGATTACGTCAGATGTGGCTACGCAACGAGTGATTACGTCAGACGAGGCTATGCAACGCGTGATTACGTCAGACGAGGCTACGCATCGAGTGTTTACGTCAGACGAGGCTACGCATCGAGTGTTTACGTCAGACGAGGCTACGCATCGAGTGTTTACGTCAGACGAGGCTACGCAACGTGTGGTTACGTCAGACGAGGCTA